CTACAAGAGTTTTTATCATCTTTACAGGAGAAATTATTGTTTTCTGTAGGCATTGAGATGACAAATCTAACTCCGTCTTTGTCTCTGTTTCATACACCACAGTCTGTAACATGACAGAGGGGATTTCCACCGAACAGCTGACAGCGTTTCAGCTCTAATCACAAGACAAGTGTAAATGTAAAGCACCAAGTCTTCACTGATCTTCAAAAGAGCTGGAAAAAACAAGGACTATGTGTCCTTAGATTAGTCATACTTGTTTCCACCTTCAAAATATCATCTACTCTCTCTGATGAGAAACCTGAAACTTCATAGTGAAAGTTCTCAGACTGAAATAACTTGTGGGATTTCGGTGAAAACTGCTGCAGACCTGATCAAACGTTTTCAGAAACTTTGAGGCAAGTTAGAGATCTCACCTGAGGCAGAGGTAGCAAGACCAGACCAGGCGGAAAAACTGGACTACAGTGACTTTAAACATGGTCTCAACAAGTCAAATTAAGACTTTTTAAAGACTTTTTAAAGACTTTGATCTGAATACAATTTAAGACCCAATTAACATCCGTACTGGCAAAAAAGTACAAAAGAAATGAAGGGAAATTGGATTATTTTACATCACTTCAGATTTATCTTCATTCCTATGGCGCGTTATTTTGTAAGTATAGAGTTAATACATTTTAAGACCTTTTAAAATCACATTTAAGACATTTTATGAGATTTGTAGAGAATTTTAGAGATTTTAAGACTTTTAAGACCCCGCAGATACTCTGTTTAAATGTTTGTCCTCATCTAACCAAGTCTGTTTCAAAACCAAAAAACTAAAAGCAAAAACTACTTTATTAAAATTTAACATTGCTGTAAAATAAATGAAAAATGATCAGATGTGTAAAATAAAGCGCCCAAGATCAGTTTAAGTGCAGATTAACTGATTCTAGAATAAACTGAATCTATTCAAAACAGTTCTACGTTTTTGATCAGAATGAGACTTCAGGCCTTCACCGGGTCTTTACAGGTCAGCTGATCGAAGATACAGCCTCTCATTGGTCGACAGGTTAAAGCAAAAACCCGACAACAGAAATCATCACAAATTACTTTTGTTTCTGAGAGATCAGATCCCGACAGTCTCTAAACTCTAAATTAAACACACAGAGTCGATCTGCTGAAAGCTGCCTGTCTCACAAAGCGAGTGGATTTTACTCTGAACTGTTTTGTTTTTTGAGCTGATATATCAAACCCTGAATGTTTGACAAACCCATTTTTCTCACATGTATTTCAAGGAAAATAATGGTCTGATATCTGGGTCAGTACTGTACCTGCTTACTAACATTTATAAGTTTCACTTTCTTTTGGACCGGATGATAAAAACGCAGAAAAAAAGACGTCCTTGAAACAAACCCTGAACAGTCTCTTCCTTGTGAACTCTTACAGGCACTAAAGAGGCTAGAGGCTGTCATGAAGAAAAGGCTTTAATAGAGACGCATGTAAAAAGAAATTCATATTTGGGCTCAGAGCGCTGCAGCAAATCTGACCCAGGAGAGCACTATTTTTAGTTAACATGACTCAATCTAACTGCCGTGATTTGGCGCTCTGAGAGTCGCAATTATCCTACACATTCATTTTTCTCAGCAAGGTTGAGCGTGTCATAAATAACAGCTGTAATGTCGAGGTTATTCACCTCAAACAGCCTCATGTTTCATCTTTCTTCACGCCGATCATCGAGCAAATAAAAACCCGATTTTACGTCGAAGAAGATGAAGACTTTTCACTCTTCAAATACACATCCAAAAGTGGTCTGTCGACTTGATTTCTGCTATTTCTGGACGTTGCTGCCGCTCCATAACTTTAGAGATACGTCATGTGTGTCTGCAGAGAGAAAGAGCGAGCGAGAGCAGGCCGCTGCGTCACTCAATCTAAATATAGACGAGATTAAATGTCCTCGGTCACTTCATGCAGCCATTTCAATTCAATTACTGGGAAGGAATAATTCTGAATTTCATCCAAAAAGCTGCAGCATGTAAAGGTTTATGAACTAATTATTTCCCCTGTACGCCCATAGAGAAATATGCTGAAATGAAATGGAGGCCGAGAACAAACTTAAATGACTTTCCCTCAGGACGGCGCTTCAACAATCTTCACTTCTATTTTTCCTTCCTGTGCATGTTTTCGCCGACTTTCTCCCCTCCTCGCTCTCTCTCTCTCTCTCTCTCTCTGTCTCTCTGCCTGAGCTGCAGTCTGAGGCCTCGGCTTTAACAAATCGAACACACACTCTGTCACACACACACAGCAGAATGTTAATACAGCCCCCATTACTGTTGAATAATGTCATAAAATCAGTGCTCATGTTTTTATAACCACATTTGACTGTTGCTGCAGATATTAAGAAGTGAGCCTCCAGGCAGACATTTCTCCAGGAGAGGAGAGGAGGGGGGGTGATTCCGAACACGAATTTACTCTCCCAATGTCACCTGCTGTTTGGACGGATAATCCTCCTCCTGGTGAATGAGTCCTCGGTGGAATCAACTCTGATGGTTTGAGGTGTTGATGCAGGATGGAAAATGCCACGCATAACAAATATTGATCCTGCGGACGCGTGATCGATAAGCCATGATTAGGAGGAGAGAAAAAGGCAGGTGAAGCCGCATGACGGCCGGATTGGCTCCGATCCAAACAATGTCCGGTTATTTTTACCACACAAGAGAGACGCACAAAAAAACGACACTACTGACCCTGGAAGATGAGATTCCTGCAGCACACACACTGACTCAGGTAGTTTAACACACACACGTACACACACGTACGCATGTGCAACACAATCAGATCCATGCAGGAGATAAAAATCTGTGTACAAACACGGAGCAGCCTCTGCAGCGCCGCTCTATCCTTCACAATGGCACGGTGACCTTTCAGAAGCATCCCACGCAGATGGGGGAAAAAAAAGAAGTAAATGATGAGCGGCTTCTCGGGATGAAGAGGGATTACGCGCTCAGTGCTGCTAATCAAATGAAAGAGCAGAAAAATTGTATTAGGTGGGACCAATAATTGAGTTAGCACTATTGAAGGACACAGGCGGCTACAGCTGCTTTATCTCCATAACGAGTGCAGAGCTGCAGACCAACACGCTCCTTTGTTTTACACGGCTCTTTGTAGAACAATCTGGGTTCACTACTTTAAAACGCTGTGAGCTTAGCCGCTAGCTGCCTACGCCGTCATGAGCACCACATACTCCTGTGTGCGCTCAGTGTCCATGGCGACTGAATATGAGTGTAATATGTTGAGGCGGAGCTGATTAACGTTGTTCAGAAGAGGATCATGCTAGGGTTATTGCATGAGCGGTATGACAGCTGATAACTGGAAATGTCTATCGTCAAGAGGACCAATCACACGGAGGGGGTTGTACTTTACATTGTTTTGATGCGTAGTTACATTTGGAGGAGGTGCAGATCAGCTTCTGTCCGGGGAACGGCGTACGCTGCGTCATCGGTTTAATGCAAAGGAGAAGACCAGGCTTAACCTCCAATTTCTGACGCTCACGTTATTTCACCCCGATGACACCATGGATGAGGAGATGCTGATTCTAGAAGCTAGAAGTAGATTTCCTCCCTTGGAAGGACACAATCTACTGCTTATATGTCTATGTGTCTGTCTTTGTAGAGACAACTCGTTATCGCGCGATTACATGTGAATTTGCGGGTTCTTGTGAGTCCCTGCGATTCCCACTGTCTGAAAGTCACCATGAAATTCGCCTTACAAACGCATCCGGTAGGAATTGGCGTATGTCGAAAATTGCTGCAGTTCCCCAGTGGAGCCGTTCCGTATACAGTGACAATTTGGGGTTAAGAGTCAGAATTATATGACAGGCATGAATGAGTGATGCAGCTCAGCAGAATTGAAAATGAGGATGAAATAATGACTAAAATCGACTCAATCATGTAACCATCACACCATGAAAGCCAAAGCAATCTGGTTACAAAAAGAAATGTCCGTGTTAGAGTTGTGTTAAATAAACAAAAAGGCCTAAATGATTGAAAGTGCTCGCTCGGGTATGTCAGACCAGCAGGTGGGGATAATGAGTCAAATACTAAAATAGAAAACTGTGCATGCAAATTGAGCGTGCTGCAGTAACATGCTGAAGTGAAGTTAGATTTCCTGTCATTAAACCTAACATTATCCTGAAGACGTATATTACTAGCTCGGCATCTTTGCAAATTTACTTTCGTGCACAAGTTAAAGTGACAGGTTGGTGTTTTGCAAAACTTTTGCAATTGTTCGGCAAACTAAAAAGTACAGAAGAGAGTTTTTAAATCTGCATCTTTCAAAAAAACAAAAAAACTCACTAAGAACTGAAAAGCAAAACGCTGAGAGAGAAAAAAAAACAAAAATAAAAACTTTGATGATAGTTTCCTGTCTTGAAAGTCTCCAGGTGGTCTCCTGCGCACAGCTGTTAGCGAAGTGATTTATTCACATGTCGTAACAGAAGTGTGTATTTGACAGATGCAGAGAGGACAGCCAGTGTCTGCTGCTGCTACACAATATAATATAACATATGATGCTACAAGCTGGACGGGCTGTCAGCTCAGAACAAAAGACACAAACAGCAGGAGGACCGAGTTCTGAGCTTTCTGGATGTCGTACCGTATTATTGTCCTTGGAAAAGATGAAATATTTTAGGTTTTCTTCTGTCGGTGCAAATTTCCAATAAACCTGTTCTTTCAAAGTAAAACTGTCAGCCCACACACACACGCACAAACACACACACAAACACAACCCAAATTCAGGCTGATGGGATCCTGAAAGAGGCTTTAACACACAAAACAGCTTGTCTTTTTTTCCTGTCATCACTTTATCACTTTGTCACCCTCGTGCCCCTCTCCCTCCTCGCTCCTGTCAGCTCCTGTTCCTCCTCCTGTTCTTCTTCTCTCCCCTGTCTTCTTCACTTTCCCGTCTCCTTAATCTCCTCCTCGCCTTCATCGCCGCTCTTTCCCTCACTCGCCCTCTCCGGGTTCGTAATGGTTCCTGTCATCAAGGAGGATGTGGTGAGGGACGGGGGCAGGGAGGCGACGCTCCCAGCAGCATTTAGTCTTCCCAAATCCTCCACACAGTGTCAACTGTTGCTTCCTCCCACCGTGGTCCCTCTGTCTACACTGCGTCTGATCTCACCGGTGTCAGCATCCTCACCCGTCTGACAGAGGCTCTGATGAGGACTTTGAAAACACGATTTACCTCCACGGTGGCGGTTCTCTGAAGACATGGATGGAGCAAAGAGCAAAGCCCAAACTCACCGACTTCTATTCATCCAGATCCAATCTGCCCTCTGCTGCCCTTGTTGGAGATGCTGCTTTCACTACCATTGCCAATGTCCCTCCAACTGCCAACAAGGATTGCAAGAAAACCCTCATCAGGTTCCTCTCCTGGTTGTGCTTCTACTGCATATAATCCTGATCCAGGAAGGGCCGCCATGTCTGAAGCTGAGAACGCTGGTCCAGTAACAATGACGTTAAATCAGAAAACCTCCTCCTGCTACTGTTTTTGCACCTCAGACCCTCCAAACTTAACCCGCGTCGTATTGACAACAAAGTTCCTCATGTCAGATTTACAGTTAGCGTGTAATTTGATCCTCTTTCCCCTCATAGTTTGAAGGTCATCTTCATACTGAGCAGTCATCCTGTTGTGTCGTTATTTCCTTGTAAATATCTCTAAATTCAGAGTAAAAGAGGACGCTAACCTTCATGGTGTCACTTACGCCCTGATCTACCTCTGAATCACACCTCAGTGTGACCTTCACCGTCTCCTGGTTTGTTTCTTTACATTCTTCCAGGAGCACAAACCTCTCAAACAATCTTACCCCGAGTTTTTCATCCTGTCTGTGCAGCGTGCATCAATTTACATGAGCTGTGTTTGTGATGAGCAGGTACAGACTTTGCATGTAAATGCAGCATCATCCATACAGGACATATACGGTTTAAAGACACACAAATGCACCGGTGTTGTTTCGCACCTTTGCTGAGGTGGTTTGAGAGAACAAACTGAAATTCAATGTTTGACTCTGATGCTCCAAAGTCCAACTTACCCCAAGTTTCCATCACATCCGGAACGGCTGCGGTTTTGACTGTCCGCCAATTCCTATTGGATGTGTTTGTGAGGCGAATTTCGGACAGAAGGAATCCCAGTCCAGACCAGTCCTTAAACCGTCTGTCCTCATATAAGGGATGAGACGAGTCGTGGATTATTCTGTCATTTTGGACTTTCAGAATCAGCGTCTCCTCATCCATGGTGTCAACAGGGTGAAATGACATTTGAAAACCTTTCACTTGTTTGTCCCCGCCCACATTTGCATGGTGTGAAATAAGAGCCGCCTGAAACACGGAGTGTTTTATTTTGAAAAGAAGCCGGGTGTTTTATTTTGTGACTGTGCCCGACTTCCTTTCCAGCACGGGTTAACCTGTGCTGAATTTATGCGGCGTGCTGTGGCGTCTGAAAAAAAAAGAACCCTGGCGATCAGCTATGAAACCCGCTGAACCACAGGGGGCCGAAAAGAAGCCGGTGAAATTTGCCTCAGTAACTTGAATGGAAACGATCAGCAGCGATCGGTGCCAACGGCCTTTTCGCCGCCGTTCCGTATTTGGTGGAAATTTGGGGTTACTCACTTCCTTTTGCCTTTTTTGTCACTGATTAGAGCTCTGCATGCAAAGAAGTCTTATCTCTAAAATATCGGAGTTTAGCCATCAATTCATGCCTCGTATTCTCCTACATGACATGACGCATCGGGACAGGGCGCCAGCATGAACAACTGAGACAGAGCAGTGTACCAACTTCTTGTAAAATCCACTTTCTTTGTGGTCAATAAAATCTGTTTTTCTGAAGTTTAGAGTCTTCAGAGGATCAGTATTTTCAGAGATGGTCCAGATCGAGTCCCTCAAAAGGAAAAGTTCAAGACGAGCACACTGCAGGAAAACCACAGTGATCTCTGACTGTTCTCGTTCTGACCCGAAAGCTTTCAGTTTGTTTTCAGCGGAAAGAAAACACCACTCTTTTTTTTTTTTTCTCTCTTAGTCATTAACTTCTTTTCAGGAACAGGTAGAACTGCGATCCTCTCACTAACGCTCTTATATGACATGATTTACACACAGCATTGCAGCAGCAGCAGCAGCAGAACACTAATCCACTAATAAAACAAATTTAATCCACTCTGAAGTTGCTCGGCCCGGGCTTGATCATGCACAGCACTTCCATTTCAATAGCTGTCATGTTATCAACTGACTCTCTCCAAACCTGCTGTGAAATCCTGTTTGGACATGTATTTGTTCTGATTAAAACTTGACTGTTCCTCGTGTTCCTGCGACAGACAAAACAGCTATCTAAAAGCTTTTCAAAGTGTCTGTATTCACCCAAATAATTCAGCAACAGCAAATGTCAAACACAAAGCTAGCTCTCTCCGCAGTCATTAAATCACATCCCCGCTGAAGCACCTTTTAGAGCAGGAGTCTTTTATCCTTTGCCTTTCATTTTATCATTTCAATTTATTTATGAAATGCAAAGTTACAGAGACATAATGATTTGCCTTTCACTCAGTTTTACAATCGTCATTAATGCAGGTCTGTGTGATCACTGGAAGAGGCTTTTAGGGAGCCACTTTTCAGCCGCTGAAATTACACCGCGTACATTTCCAAACCCTGCAAAGATTGTTAATGTCTCATAAAGGGAGCAGACCATTTTACGCTCACACTGCCTCTGTTTTTGTCCATTTACAACTCTGCTTTGAGCAGACACAAAGAAAAGCGTCTGGTTTCTGTCCTTGAGAAACGTCTTCTTCCTCCGAGCTCCCGATTCTTTCTATCAGACTCTCCTCTTGAGTGTACGCGGCCCCGTCAAGTGTCTCCTTTAAAGAAGTCTCTGAGACTTGATTTCAATGAAATCAATTAATGAAGGAGCTGAGCTCGAGCCTGATAGTGTTTACACAAAACCTCACATCTCTGCGGTACGAGAGCGGAGAGTAAAATAGAATAGAAAAGGTTAAACGCTGAGTATGACCCACTCAAGACACGAGCTTCTCTCCTGTTCCTACAACTTCGTTACGCTTTCAGGAAAACTCATCAGCAGGACCTTTAATTAAAAAATAAATAGAGTTTTTAATCTTCCATTATCACAGCAGGTGATCCAGCAGCAGATAAGTCCAAGAGTCCAAGTCCCAAACACCTCTGATTGAAGATAACACAAACTTATGCTGCGTTCAAGTTGTACTCAGAAGTCGGGATTTTCTAACTCCAAGTCGGAAATTCTTATGGAACGTCCTCCTGAAGTCCGACAATCGTCACCAACCCCGACTTGACGACCACGTCATAATCCAAGATGGCAGCACAGAGCATCAACAGTAGAGAGTAACAGTGAAAACTCTTGTAATGTTTTATTTATTAGCGCTTCCTTTATTTATTAACCTGGAGTTCCTTCTTCGTTGACTCGCTGTTGACTCGTGTGTTGACACACCTGCACTGTCTTGCGAGGTTAGCCGACAGAGAGAAACGTGCACTTGTAAGGAAATTTCACCAAAGTAACTCGAACAGTGGTGAGGGAAAAACAGCGAACCCAGACAACAGCTTTCACTGTTAATGAAACGTTATCAATGAAAATTGAGTCTTAACTGGCCTAACTGTTACACTCCTGAAATTGAGACGGTGTGCTTTCTGCATGAAAGACTATCAAAGTTTGGAGCGTTTAACATACTGAAGTAAGTCTCAGACATCAAATCTTAGATTTAAGGTGAGGTGCTGATATTGTAGTAAAACAAACCAGAGCTGTAGCTGTTTTAGAGCAAAATTTTTTCAAGTTATGTCGTAATAATGATAACTGTTTGTAAAGCGTTTCTGTTTCCGACCCTTTTTTGTTGGTTTCAGAAAGGGGTGTCCCGATACAACGTTTTTATTTCCAATACGGTACCGATATTGTAGCCTTCAGTATCGGCCTATACCGATATTGATCTGATTTTGGCACAGACTTGTGGATGACAAGTTTTGTACTCAGCTACAACGTCTTTTTCGGACTTCAACGAAAAATACTGCCACACGGCCGACATCACTCCTACTACCTGCTACTTTGTTAGTACAGCTAGAATTGCCGGAGTGGAGTCTGGAATGGACTGCTTGTGTTGGAGTGCTGATATCGGAGATTTTAGATAAAGGCCGATATAATTCAATATTTGTTTTTTGGCTGATATTGGACCGATATCCGATATTAATATCGTATTGGGGCAGCCCTAGTTTAAGATAATTTGTCAGAGGGGCCCCTTGAGAATTTTTGCCCGGGGCCCCAGCACACTCTAGAATCGTCTTACTCAACAGCTTCACCTTCAGATAAAGTTAACCCAGATTTAGTCAAGACTTTGGACTCAGTTTGGGGGTCTGGTCCAGTCTGTGCAGACCCTGTTCTGTCAGATTCAGTCAGTGTGGCATTAATGTTCTTCAGTCAGATTTGAGTGTTAAAGTCTGAACTCATGAATTATTCCACTTAGAGGTGAGATTTACTGCTTAAATTCAGGGGTGGTGTAAAAGTACAGTGCAGCGCTCTGGTATCGGTGCATTAGAGAGCAGGGGCCGCTGTGGCGTATCGATTCGTTCTGAACATTTCATGCATTTTCATTTGGAGCAGGTGTCAGAGCAGCAGGTCCTCACATTAAGAGTCCTGCTGCTTTTATCATTTTAGCCTTTTAATTAAAAAGAGGTTTTCAACACCGGGGGTGCCAGGTGAACACAATTAAAGAGCAACAAACAGTCTGATCAGGCGGGAAAAAAACAGTCGCCAACAGTCAGGATGGAGAGAGGAGAGGCTACAAGTGAGAAAAATGAATATTTGTCTGTTCTCACAACAACACATAAACTCTCACAGAACCATGTTGGACCAGTACATGGTGATTCTATGTAACTGGTCTGTCATTTAAAAACACAAGTGAGCATCTTTGTTAGAGTAGGAGTGGATTATATTTATTGTGGACAGGGTCTGGGACAAAGTCCGGACTAGTGGATTGTAACCCTGACAAGTTCAAGTATAATCCTTTCATCTTTGACGTTTCACACTTTTTTAAATAGACAATTTCTCGTTTATGCAGCAGCACAAAAGTGCAAAAATGTACAATCTGAGGGGTTAAAGATGCTGTTTGTCGTGTTTAGCAGCATCTAGTGTAATAAGACTCAGTTAAAATAAAGTGTAGTTATGCAGAGGTACGTGTAAATTACTGTTTAATAGCTTTAATTCTGTTCATTTCAAATGAACCTTTAATATTTGAAGAGAGTCGGTCCTCGTCCTTGGAGGCCACCAGCTTGTTAAGCCACTTTTGTAACGTTGCTCTGACTAGACAAACTGATGTCGTCCTTGAAGGCGAACATCACTTCACAATAAGTAGAAATGAGCAAGGAAGCTTTTTCTACACATCATATTTCAGCAGC